GGGGTTGGCTGACCTAAGGACCCTGGAGAGGGAGGCAGAGATGTCCGGAAGTCATGAAGGGCCACTGCGGTTTGTACTGGAGTAGGGGTGGAGAGCAGCAGGTCTCAGGCAGGAAACTTGGAAAGCTGCATTTGCAGCCAGTGGTGTGACAGACTGCCAGCAAGAAGCACTGCCCCAGGGGTTCTCACCTGCCTCTCCTTGCCAGCCCACCTCCAGCCACTCCCCTTTTGCCCTCCTCTTGCTCGAAGGAACAGCAGAAGCTGTCCTGTTTGATTGCTTATCCTGGGTCTGCCCTGTGTCCCCCACTCTCCATCTGTCCACCTGAGGGGCCTGCCTGCACATACTGCCATCGCATCATTTGCCACAAGCATGACCCATGAAGGGGATGGAAGTCACTCTGCACACAGCTCCTGTGCCGACAGTTCCTTGAGTAGGGCAAATTCCAGAAAAATTGCACACTCAGCAACTGTGCAAAGGGAGTGAGCCTGTGAGACTGTGTGTTTATGCCCTTTGTGTGTGTGTAATGGGCAGAGAAAGAGACACTGGCACCAACAGAGAGCTTGGGGGACACAGGGTGTCCCTGAGCAGCACGTGTGACCCTGATTCCTGACATCAACAATACGCACAGAGGGAATGATTGACAGAGGGTCAAGGGGAAGGATGCAAGAGGGAAACGAAGGAAGAGAGAAGGAGAAAGGGAGAAAAATGCAGCCTGGTGAGTGGGGAATAGGAAGGAAGACAGCTTTGCAGTGAGATGGGTCAAGGAGTTGGCCAGGGGGGGAGAACAGGAAGGAAGGCTCAGCCCAAGCTCCTGGAGCTCTGCACACTCCTCCCTCACTTCCTCCTTCTCCCCCTCCCCTCCCTCTCCTCCTCCTCCTTTTTGTCCTCCCCCTCACCCCTCCCACTGCAGGCTCCAGCTCCCCAGGAATTGGCCCTTATCCCTCCTGCCCACCAGGACAGCCAGAGGACCTCCAGGAGAGCTGCACCAGGTGCCAGGGTCCCCCAGCTCTCCTTACCAGGCCAAGTGCTGCAAAGACACTGCCACCACAGATGTGTCCCTGTCCTCTGGCCATAGTGTTGACGTCTGCTCTGTTTTGAGGCATGTCATAATTTGGGGTGCATTTAGGTCCAGAATCGCCGTCTTCCACATGAATCTCTGTTGTACAGGGCTCTCTTTAGTATGGCAAAAGGCATCACTGGATCCTTTGTGTGGCTGGCCCCAGGGTAAAGCACAGGCTGGGTGAGGTACAGAGATGAAGGGTGTGGCTTGGCCTGCCTGCTCAGGTGACTCGGTGGGTCCCCTGATTCAGCAGCCTTTCACCAGGGTCTCCACAACTCTCCAGGTGAGCAATGACACAAAAATGCATGCTGTCTCCTCCTCCCTAAAGATGATACCAGCTCTTTCATTTTCACACCTTTGCATTTTCTCCAATACCCAGAATGCCATCCTTTCTAGTTCCCGAGACTTACTTTCCTCTCTCTGCTCACATTGAACTTGCTCATTGTGTTTTACAGTTCTCATTTCTAAACTTTATCGTATTGGACCTTGGTTCCTAAAAACATGGAATTACCTGCCCGGTAGTGGGAGAATCTAAGCCACTAACACTTGTGTGATCACTGTTTTCTTTGCAGACACTGTGCTGGGAGGTGCCAGCCACTCAGGGTCCCCGTGAGGAGACAGGCCTGGGGCTGCAGTGGCTGACACTCTGGAACAGAGTCCTGCACCCTGTCATCCTTGGCCCATTTGGGAGTTGCAACAATCATTCAGCTGAGGAACAAAAGTTCTCACAGACTGGCACAGCTCCACTGCCCGGCAGGATGAAGTCTACTGTACGTGGTGGGAGGAGGTGGCAGAGGCCAGTGCACTATGTCCCCAGTACCCAGGCCCAACTCCACCAATGGTCACAGATGCAGGTGTCCAAATGCATCTGTAGCCAAAACCATGGGAGAAGTCACCCCAGCCCTCCCTGGACCCCATACCTGTCTGCAGTAGCCAGGCTCAGGTCCCCCCAGAGGTGTGAGCAAGTGACATGGTGACGACCTCAACTGGAACATGGTGGCACTGAGTCAAGATCTCGGTCTTGTGAGCTAGCAAGGGCTGCATCCCCTGCCAATGGCCTTGAGGTCCTCAGAACCCACCCCTGCTGTGGTCCTCACATCCCCCTGGCCAGCTTGGCTCCCAAGGCCCAGCCAGGACATGAAACCCATTTTCCTTCTGCTCAACATGGCAGAGAACAGGGCCTGGCTGGAGGTTGAGGCCCTGTTCCTGCGGAGAGTCAGAGTTGTGAGAGGAAGTCTCCCTCCACCCTCAGGGCCCCCAATCCAAGCTGGGCCCACTGTGCACACCTGAGACCCTCTATCATCTGTCCACACAGCCAGCCAGAGGCCCTGCCTGTCAGGGACACAGAGGTGGAGGCAGAAAGCTGCAGCCCCAGGACACAGACCTGACACAAGGTGGGACAACAGTGTATGTGGACACCTGTGCGTGAACAGGCTCTGCAAGAGGGTCCGGGGGCCAGGGGAGGAGACGCAGGCCTTGCAAGGATGGAACAGCTGGGCAGATGGGGGGCAAAAAGTCCCAGCACCCATGAGGGGGTGTCCAGGTACAGAAAGTGCCTGCCCTCTTCCTGCAACTGCACACAGTCTATCTACAGTGGAATCTGCAGACCCTCCAATCTCCCTGACACATATGTGATATGAATATGCATGCAGTGTGATAAAAAAAATATGGTGAATGTTTACATTTTAAAATTATTACAGTAAGAGATACATTGTCTTGAATCTTCTCAGATCTACCCTCTCACTTTGAACACATTCATCCCATCATCCCTGCCACTTTCTGAAGCAGTTCTGGGTGTCTTTAGTTGTGCTGTCATGGCTGCCTCAATGTACTGAATTGATTCCAAAAGTTTCCTTTCCATGGTTATTTTGATGTTGGGGAAGAGCCAGAAGTCACACAATGCCAAATACAGTTAATAAGGTGAATGAGGACACTGTTAGGTTTTTAAGAGTCTGCCTTTCAATGCTTGGCAGCAGCATTCACCATATTTTTTATCACATTTCATAAAGACACTCAGAAAAGAGGACTTCCAGACCTTCAGAAAGTAACAAAAATGATGGGATGAGTGTGTTTGAAGTGATGTGGAGTATCTTGAGGGGATTCATGGCAATGTGTCTTTTACTGTAATAGTTTTTTTTTAAACATTCACTGTTGGGGGATGTTTTAGATCTGAACTGCAACATCACAGTGCCCTCCACTCTCTGGCCATGGCTGGGACTGCCACCATGGGTCCAACCTAGGGCTTAAAGAGGAGGCCCATCCATCCCAGGCCTCAGCCAAGGTTGGTTCTCTGACTCTAAGGACCAAAAATTACAAAGGGAAATCGGCTTGTGCTTTTATCGCCACTTGGTTCTTCCTTTGAATGCATTTCTTTACGGGGAATATTTTCCAGTGTTGTGTTACATCCTTCCTGAACTCTAGAATCATACACATGTGTGTGCACATACCCACACATATGCAGAAGTGTGTTCAGAGGTGGGGCTTTGGAAGGTGATTGGACCATGGTGGGGTCTGCGCTCATCAGTGGACTTATCCATTGGTGAGTTCAGAGTTGAATGGGTTGTTAGGAGGCAGGGCCTGAGAAGAGGGGTAACTGGGTGCTTGACCATGTAGAGTGCATGTTCCACCTTGCTCCTCCCTTCTCTTTCTGTAGCCCACCTGCTATGAGGTGAACAGCTGTCCTCCACCAGACCCTCCCCCATGCTGCTTCTCCTTGCATCTAGCCAACTTGGGACTGAAACCCCAACCCTCGAGCCAAATTAAACCTCTCCTTTAAGAGTTAAGTGTCAGGTATTTTGTCCCAGTGACAGGAAGGCTGGACTTGGACCACTCCTCGTATGCCAGACTCCACAGGTTGGTGGCTGTCTGTCCCTGACACTTTTGCAGACCTTGCAGATGCAGCCAATACTCTGAAGGCAGCACAGGGAGGAGGGCAAGGCCCCCAGGGCACTCCCAGGCAGGCAGTGCTGACCAAGATGAGGGGTGCACAGGGGGTAGTGAGGTGCTGCAGAGCCCGTGCCTCTTGGTCCCATAGCCTCATCCCATCTTCAGCACAAAGACTGAGCTCCTCCCTGCCAGCCAGGCCAGGTGGCGAGACCTAGCTCTGGGCTGTGAACATCTACGTTACACTTGGCCTTGCGATTCACACCCAATATTACACCTGAAATGGGCGTGGTTGTTTGGGGCCCTGGTCTCTAGCCACAGCACTGCTGAAGCAATGTAAAAACATCATCACCTTTTAAAGACAATTTAATTGTGGTGAAACTGACCATACTCACTCTGTTCAAGTCACCGTTCCAGAGTGGGAAGTGCACTCACCTGTCACGAACCCATTCATCTTGCAAACTGAGCCTTTCCACCCACTGAACAGTTCCCCTCAGGCACAGCCAGGCTTGATAATTACTTTTTTTTTTTTTGGTACTGGGGATTGAACTCAGGTCCTTGTGCTTTCAGAGCAGGCGGCGGAACCACTGAGCTAAATCCCCGGCCCGATAATTACTTTTTTCCAAGGGATCTCACCCCTCCCCCACCATTCCTGTTTGCTTACTTCCTCCTCCACATCCTCCCCTCACACATACATACATGCTCACACATGTACACACACACATGTACATGCACACATGCACAGACAGCACAGTCCCCCCCACCCCAGCTCTACTGCCCTCATCCTCCTCTCTTTATGACCATCATTCACATTCACAGGTGCAACTTCAATGCCCCAATCCTCAGGGTTGCCAGGGGACGCTGCTGGTCATGACACATGGATCACCCACCAGGGAGCCAGTCCACCAGGAGTCTCAGAGGGGAAGAAGCCTCTCGTACCTGATGAGGCATTGGAAAGACATTGCTGAGTTGGCAGCACTGAGGTCTGATCACTGTAGAATTATTACCCCATCCAAGAAGATCCCTCCCCACCCTGCTCTGGGCTGTGGATGCGGACCTCACCCAGCGGAGCATGGAGCAGGCCACAGGGAGGACCACACTCCCATCCCATATGAAACTAAAATGGAGACCGCAGGCAGAGAGAGCATGGAGAGTTCATGGTGACACTGGCACCACCCTTGCTTTTATCTCAGGAGATAGGGGTGGGGTGCTCTCCAGACCACCCTCAGACTTGGATGTCCCAGCATTCCTTCTTCAACACCGAGAATTCACCATTCCAGGGAAGCGCTACCACCAGGAAGCTGCAATTCATTCTCTGCAAAAGATAGCACCACTGAAAATCAGCAGTATGCCAAAGAAAAAGAAAAAACCATCCTGTCGCCAGGTGTCAGCTTAGGAATATGCTGGAAGGCGGGTCTCCACCAGCCAGAGGCTGTGCCCAGGAGCCTGCTGTTCACAGGAGCCACAGCCCAGCCATCTCCAGCTACCCAGAGTTCCAGTGACACCAGCCCAGGAAGAGGACAAGTGGCCAGGTGACACCAGCCTCAGGGAAACAGCAAGTGCCAGCACCCATAGGACCCTGCAAGGGATTAGACACAAACTTGATGGTTTTACTTCTCTTTAATGCTTCCTTCAATAAAAATAAAGCATCTCTATTAGACACAACTGGTGCATGCTATTTTAATGACTAAATACTTCCTTTGTGCTAATAACAGGTCAGTGGGGACAAGAGAAATGAGAGGATGCTAGAGCCTGACAAGGAGCCCTGCTCTCCCTTTCCAGTCCCATGGAAATAACTAAATAGTGTGTGCAGCGGGTGAAGGGCTGGGTAGAGTGACAGACGGATGGAGGGGCAGGTGGGCAGCTGAGCTGGAAAACTGCAAAGGCATAGGAGATGGAATCTTTGAGGCTCCCCGGAGCTGAAGGCCAACAGAATCAGAGAGAAGAAAGTTTGGTCTCTACTGAGTATGGGACACAGGCAATAAGAAACACTGAGACCAGGAGGTTTAAATGTAAATTACATCAAATTTGGGGACCTTCCTATAAGGAAGCTAAAAGAATCCATCCAGAACACAGAAAAAAGGTAATGTGCCCATCCTCATTGTAGCAGACAAGCAAAATCCTGAAACCACATGCAAATGAGATTAATTCCAACCCAAACTTACCTAGTAAATACAAAAATCCTAAACAAAAACCAGGAAATTGAAGCCAATTCCATCGGAAACACATACTATTCCTAAACATTTCCTTTTCTGGAAATTCTGGTTCAGCAGATTTGGGATAAGCTATGCCTCCCTGCATGTGCGCACCAATGTGCATGTGTGTGCACACATGAGCAGTGTGTGTGTACCACGTGCTCCATGAGATTGATGACAGCAGGGAGTGAGAGTAGTTAATACACATAGAAGTGAATTTCCTACATAAGGCATAGATTGACACAGTCCTTCCCGCTCCGCTTTCCAGCTGGGGACCTGACTTCTGTAAAGCACCTTGGCAGTAAGAAGGCCACTCCACCATCAGTGAGGGTGTGGCCAGAGGACACATACATTATAGGCCATGTGTGCCTGGACAGTGGCCCTCAGGAACTGAGCTCCTCAGGCAGCGGAAGAGACCCACAGCTCAGCAAAGCTACTGTGCTGGAACCACCAATGCTCCACACGTATCTCTGTGCAGAGGTCCAGAAAACCACGAAGACATCATTGCAGCTGACAAGTGTGTGCACAAATAGGCACAGATTGATCAGTGTGGCTAGACGTAGCCAATGTCAGTGAAATAGAATCACAAAATTGCTCCACCACAAGAAAGACAATTGGGCCGTGTCCCACCTTGGAGTCTATTATTTTGATTTATAATACCAGTAGATCGAAGAAGAAAAGGTACTCAATGTACTTGATAGATATCAAAAGAATATTTGATAGAAAACCTTCTTAATTGAAAAAATAATCGGCAGTCTGAAGAGAATTGGCAGCAGTCGTGTAATATTTAATAATAGGATATGGATCTGGAGATATTTGCACTCGAGCCAGGAACAAGAACTAACTGTTCAGTGTTGTCACTCTGCAGCATTATCCCGGAGGCTTGGAAAGACAGAAAGTTTTCACCGTTAATAAATGTGAGCTTAAAACTAGCACCTGAAACCCCACAGAGCCCAGAAACTTCTGAGGCTGCTGGGCTCCTTAAAGACCTGAACTCTCCTTGGTGTTTTCTACAAACAGCCAAAGCAACAGCTTCCTTAAAACTCCAATAAGCCTGGGAGAAAATATAAATGCAAAAGAGTAAAAGATTAAGAAGAAGGGTGAGACAGTATCAGCACAGGCTCATTCTGATAGCTTTGTCCTGACAAGTGTTCAGGGTCACCTAGAAATGGCAGGGCCGGCTTAGTTTGAACAGTTTTAGTCCAGTGTCACTAGCATGCATGTTGTAATCCTACTTGCCATTTCCAGTCCCCATGTAAAGCAGTGGCTCTCAACACACTGTCCCACTGCTAGTAGCAACAGTGTCTGAAACATTAAGATTGAGAATCCTCTCATCGCTTCTCGGCCCTTTGGCTAAGATCAAGCAAATCCTCTTACCCTATTCCCCATCCACTGAGGCAGAAACTCTGAAGGGGGCACACAGCCACCCACATGTAGACCTCCAGATGATTCTGACACTGGTCACATTGGAACAGCTGGGGTCTTCATTACACTAACTGCAGACCTGGCTTTGAGGCAGGATCAGTCCAGGGCTCCCCCAAATTCTGAGATCAATAAGTACAGGCTTAGCGAGGCATGCAGGTACACACCTGTAATCCTAGCACTCTGGAAGGCTGAGGGAGAAGGATCACAAATTTAAGCCCAGCCTGGGCAACTTAGTGCCTTAGTAAGACTGTCTCAAAATAAAAAAACAGGGGGGTCTTGGGGATGTAGCTCAGTGTGGAGGCTCTGGGTTCAATCCAAAGTAGCACAGAAAAGAAAGAGGAGGACGAGGAGGAGGAGGAGGAGGAGGAGGAGGAGGAAGAGGAAGAGAGGAAAGAGAAGTTGAGTCTAAATCCCCTGGACCACATCATGCCTTTGGTGCCTGTCTGTTCCCTGACTTTGTGGAAGCCCTGGCTGAGCAGAAGGGTGGGGTGTTGTCTGGTCTCCAGCACCTGGAACACACCTGGTGCAGGTAAGTAGCTCCTGGTATCAATGAGGACACTCAAGTGGCTGAGTAAGTGATGATGGCCTCAACAACTGGCCAGCTGGTCTGGGTCAAGAGGACGTACATCTCCAGAAGACATGTCAGCAATGTTTCTGCCTCCAAGGTCCAGGTCTCTGAGATGGGAGTGGCTTAGAGGACATCTTGTCCCCAGAGGAAGGGCAGGAAAGGCCACTCCCTGGGAAAGCCACAGGCCAGACTATCTGGGGCTGAACACATGGAGAGAGATAGGCCTCCAAGAGGGGGCCTGGGAGCCCCGAGTTTCCCTGTCACCAGGAGGACTTGGCTCAGAGCTGCCAGGGCTGTCACACATGGCAGGTTTGTCACCTACCTTTTCCAGGTTGAAGTTTTTTTGAATGACACAGTTCTCATTGTTGCTTAGAGGCTTTCTGCAATTGCTTCGGGCAATTTCAACCTCAATTATGTATTCCATATGGTCTGTGATCTGTTAATTGGCAATGGTGCAGTTTCATTCAGAAGTTGTATATTAGTTTTTTAAAGTTTGGTGAACATAAAAATCCTCCTGACTGTCCTCCCCTCTGCTGCCCTTCCACCCTAACACATCTTTGGGGGACAGATGGTGCACACAGCCAGGACTCTACCACACTGAGACCTGTTCTGAGTCACCCAGAACAGGTACTGGGGGAAAAGCTCTTCTCTTCTCCAATGTGGGCCTCCTCAAAGGTGAGACTTTCTGACACATTCTATGTTCAAAGTCCAGGGTGGGTGAGCCTCATGCCAGTGAGGTGCGAGGGAAGAAGCGGGCTCTGGTGAGCCAGTGCAGCCCCTCGGGCCCTCGGCCCCTCGGCCCCTCGGCCCCTCCCCCCTTCCCCTAACCCTAACCCTAACCCACCCTCCAGCTCAGCAGTCTGGGGCAGAGTGGCTGTAGGGTTAGGGTCAGAAATCAGTGTTGACTGAACTGCCCTCTGATGTGAGGGCACCCCAGGAGAAGAAGAGGGGTCTGACTTCCCCATCACTCCATTGCTCACAGCAGCCTCCAAACCTCCACAAATTTGAACTTGATTTTAACTGAGCTCCAGGGAATTAGAAGGGCAGCTCTGGCCTGTCTTGGAGGGAATGCTGCAGGGACACCAGAAGTGACCTCAAAGCTAACCTGTAAATGCTGTGGGGCGAGTCTGACAGTCTGCAGGACACTAATTCAGTCAAAGCATCCTTTGAAACCCCAAATGCTCCAAACCCTGAAACGTCCAAGCAACAACAGGACAACACCAGTGCAAGACACCACTGCCAACCTCACGTGGAGGCCACAGCCACAGCACAGCTGTACCAAAAGGATTGTGTATAGTTGGCTTTGTTCTATGAGTGTGAGATGCATGTGAAACATGTGTGAATTTTATATTTACACAAGAGCCCCATCCCCCAGACATCAAATTAGGTATGGCTAACTGTTCCAAAGGCATCTGAAACACTTCGGCCCCACATGCTGCATGCTGCTGTGTGAATGTGTGCTCTTGAGCCCCACACCTTCAGGATTTTGCATACCAGCATCTCCTCACTTCCTGCTTTTCCAGCCCAAACCTGTGAACCCGTTCCTGGATCGGACCCCTTACCTGCATCTGGGCCAGCTGGATCTGGCTCACGAGGAAGATGTACTTGTCCTCACTCTCTTTGTTGTATTCCTGCATGGCAAACCATAGGCACTGCCTCATGTTTGCATCCGAAAACTCAATGGATTTGAATGGCCTCAAAATCTTCACTATGTTCTTGGCTGGGTCTGCGCTGGTCACCAGGGCCACTGGGATGGTGAGGAGGAGCAAGGACAGTCCCCAGGATCTGGTCATGGTCTCTGAGTCCAGAGAATGGTGGTGTGGCTGGGGTAGCTCCTCCTGCCACTCTGCTACAAAGAAGGATAAGCCTGAGTCATTTATAGGAAAAAGGGTGCACTTTGAGACCATATGCTAAGTGAAATAAGTCAGACATATACACTTAAATATTACATGGTTTTTCTCATATGAGAAGTATAAATAAATCAAAGGACAAAATAAAAAAGAGATAATAGGAAGCAGGGAGATAGAACTTTTGCAAATGGGAACAGGACCAAGAGATGGGTGGAGGGGGCAGAGAGAGAAGGGGAAGGGAAAGTAAAAAGAATGAGGAATGTAATCTCATAAGGAATGTAATCATTATATACAGCAAATATGTACAATAAAAATTAAAAATTTAAAGAGCATCAAATAAATATGGATTAGGCTTATTCAGGAGCAGCAGGGCCTTACAATGGGAGTAGGGATACCATAGTAAACTACACAGGCATTCCAGGAGGCTGAGACAGGAACTGTTCTTAAGGCAAAATGAGGAGGTCACAGAAGGCATTTTGAAACAAAACCTTGGGTGCAAAGATCAACAAGGAGGTGGGATCCCCGTGATTACAGGTGTCCCTGTGGAATTCCTTCCTGTTTAAGATCATGGCAGCCTCTGCCTGAGGCAGGAGCTATGGAAATTCTTCTGTGAATGATTCTTTTACCAGACACATGAGCTCAAGATCCTCTCCTTCATGAACTTATTCCTTTATTTGGGGTGGGGCAGATGTGTCCCACGTGGAGTCATGGCTGCATGCAGTAATGCGACCCTGCAAGGTCATGAACTTTTAACACTGCAATGTGATTTTGAGTGATATTTTTCATGACCCTTTGCAGTGCTTGGTGCTCTAGTGTGGGCTGCATGGGGTTAGGGTTAGGATGTATAGGGGACGGGGCAGGGCAGGGCTAACCCCACTTCCTGCACCTCCTGCACAAGGTAAGTGGATGGAAATTGCATGTATCAGACCTTACACACTTGTGCAACTTGGTGATTAATACACAGTGATTACCAGTAACAGAGTCCCAATCTACCCACACGTCTGTGTGCATGACTGTGAAGGCAGAAATTTATTGTTATTAAGCAGATGTGTAAACTTTCTTATTTAATTGTTAAACTTTGGCTTATTTAGTTATTTGGTAAAATAATTATTTCTTAGCAGCTGTGTTATAGAAAGTTCAAAACTGCATCAAATTGTTGTTTGCTTATGATGTTATAGTTACACATACAACATCACTAATTCTAGAAAATAAGTGGTTGCTGATTTATTAATTTTTATAAAGGACAGCATTGCAATCAGACATTCAACTCAAAGGAAAAGTTGATCAAATCTCAACTTTTGCAAGACCTCTCTTCCCAGAGAGAAAAATTTCTCATGTTCCAATCACTCCTCATCGTGTCACCACTTTTTGGCATTTATGAAAGGTTTATTTATGTACATTTATGAAAGGCTGTTTTCCAGGATGGACTCCATGGAGAGTTTAGAGCAAGGTTTCTGGCGAGCACCTAGAGAACTCACTAAGAATTGCAACCCCTCCTGGAGAACAGACATTGATGCATTAGTTTAACAAAGTCAAATGTCCCATTGGTTTTAGGTTTATTTTGCCTTTTTTACATGTTATAACAAAAATATTGAAGAATAAAGAAAGTTTGTCACTTGTACACACTAACCATGTTATACATTTTAGATTTGGCTCAAGATACTTCCTCCCCACTATGTGTAGCCAGGGCCAGCGAAGAGGCCGCACAACGGTGGGCTGGAGCTGGACGGAGGGGCCCCATGTGGGTTCTGGCAGCTCTCACAGCCCAAAGCTCTCAACAGGTAGCCCTTGTCTGTACAGCCTGGCTGGACTCACCCCTAGAGTGACCCTTCCTGGTTCAAGCACCCTCACCAAGGGGACCCTAGGCAGAGTCTCCTCATCTGTCTCCCCTGCTGTCCTGGGGGACTCTGTGCTCCAGAGAGCCGCCCCCGTCCAGCCAGATCCCCAGCCTGTGCCTGCCACTGTGATCACCTGCCTCTCAGCCCTGTAAAAGGGGTCCTTGTAAAAGAGGAGCCCGAGTGTTCCTCTCCCACCTGCCCCACTGTGGGCCTCTTCCTCCTGTGAGCTGGGCTCCAGCCTCTGACCTGTGCTTCTCTGGTCCCCAGCAAGCTCAGTTCATGCCACAGCCCTGGCCAGGAGCTCTGTCCTCCTTTTTGACCTGTCCCCCTCTGAGCTCAGGCCCTGAAGGGAGGCCACACATTGTGATGCAACAGAGTGCCTGTGACCTGCCTGGGAGATGGCCAGTGCCCCCGACCTCTGCCCCACAGAGGACCACAGGCAGCAGTAAACGCCTCCTGCTCAGAACAGAAAGAGGCTCCCGGGGTCTCTGGCCTCCTCTGCCAGGAGCCAGCTGTTCGGCCACCAGCTTCTCCCTCCCCTCTCCACCAGGGTGAGTGTCACACAGCTCACCCTGATGCCAACCTCTGGGCCTTACACGGACAAGGCCGACCATACCCTGATGCCCTCAGAGACTTTGCTTTTCTGTGGAAATCCTGTATCTGCCCTCAGATGATGAGCTCCTGACCACAATAAGGGCAGGCAACACACTGTAACTGTCGGCGCTGGGCACAGCCCCTCCAGCAGTTTACAGAGTGCTGCAGAGCACAAATGTGCTGTGGATGTGGAAACTGTCCTCTGGCCTGCAGTACCACGGTGAGAACTCTCCAGACATCACACAAATGCATGGTGGGGAATGGAGATGAAAGCTTTACATAAATTCAAATTCATTGTTTGTAAATCAACTTTGAGCGTCACTTACTAATAACGCAGTCAGGATTTTTAATCCTGTAGCAGAGGAACAGCACTGGGGCGCTTCAAGCACCTGGGCCACACCACCCCAACAGAACCAGAATCTCCGGGGAGGTTCTGACTTTCTAAAGCACCCCGAGGGTTGCCATGTCCCCCTGCCTCTATGCGCAGTGCACACTCATGCTCCTGGACAGGTAGGCACTAGCTTGTGGGCAGATGCCGCAGGTTTTTGGCTCACATTGGAGGAGAGAGTATCAAATTGTGACAGTTCTTGCCTCTCCACCTCCTGGCCTTCAGACTGGTTATTCTTCAGTTCAGTGAAAGAAGATTTGTATTGTGTGAATTTGACTTGTGTTCTCAGTCAAAGATAAGCATATTTAACTTAGTATTTTTTCTGTTAATTCTCCACTGACTTATTTTATCATTTTTTCTAATATACTGTTTGCCTTTTTAAAAATTAATTTCAAGTACTTTAAAGAAACTTTAGAGAATTAATATTGTTTTACATATGTGCAGCCAGATGCACTGCCATATATCTTCCATCTTGTGAAGTTACTCATGTTCAGCTTTTGTTTTTAATATTTTCCATAAGAGAATTTAAAATGTTTATATACACAAATCCATCCACTGTTTTCTTTTATACCTTCTAGCATTTATGACTTTCATTAAAAGGCCTTTTTTACTTAAAAATTTAACTCATTCATTTTATTTACATTTTAATAATTTATAAATGATCAACTCAAACTGTCACACAGTCTTGATGGGACTGTAAATTGTTATTATCTTTGTGGAAAACAAATTGACAAAACATAAAACCTTTAAAATTATCCAGTGATGCTACTTTAAGTTACCTTAATGGTTATGGAAATGGTTAATGAAATGGAAATGTTATACATATAGTTGTTCTACAGTACCGCAAAAGAAACAATAACTAGAAAAAATCTGGACATGTTCAGTATAGACATAAGGTTTTGGATTTGATCTGTGATTGATTGACTGCAGGTACAAAACCTGTGCATGCAGAGATAGCTGTGCCTCACAGCATGAAGAAAGGCTGTTGGAAAGGACTGCTATGTTAACTTAAAGACGACTTACTTCCTGCAAGTCCTGGATTCAATCCCCAATGCCAAGAATGAATGAATGGTTTGTTTGAAAAAGTCCCAATGGTGCTGGGAAGAGCATGAAAAAAAGCAAATCATGCAAAGAACATAAATCAATATGATTCCTTTTTTTAATAAACAGAAATAAATTATGAAGAACACAGGAAACCTGATCACACTGTGCTGGCCTCTTCAATGGCCTCTTGGGGCAGCTTCTCCCCCAACTGGATGACAAGCACCAGGCCAGGTCTCCCCGTGGGGCTCGGTCTCTGCTGGATGTTTCTCCCCAGTCCCAGAGCAGTAGCCTCTGGTGGATCAACACCAAGTTCTCTTTACCCTTTCATCCACAGGTAAGCATTTAGGCAGCTTCCACATCTTGGCTGTTGTGAATAATGTTGCAATAAGCATGAGGGTGTGGTGTCTCTACAGGGCAGTAATTTCATCTCCCTTGGGAACACACCCTGCTGGGCAGAACAGTATGGAAGAAATTTAGAAGAGAGTTACCGTATGATTAGAGCTGCTTCCTGTGCAGCTGTGACTGACTGATACAAAACCTTTACACCTGAGGTCTTTGTCTTCTTTTAATTTTAAAAAACATATATCCATTATTTTTTCAACAATTTCTATCTTTTCATTTTTCTTTCCTTTTGGGATTACTATGATTTTTTACAGGGTAGTGGGATAGTTGCAATGTTTTTTGTTTTTTCTATATTTTTCTTCAACTTTACTTAGATATGATTAACAAATATTGGATATTTTTAGGGTGCAGGCATAATGTTTTAGCATAGCTTTACATTGTAAAATAAAATAATTATCAACCATCAAGCTAATTAGCATATCCATCACCTCCTATGGTCACCTTTTCTTGTGGTAAGAACACTAGAGAGAGCAAATCTCAGGTAGTCAATACACCATTATTAACAAGAATCATCTTGCTGTACATCAGATCTCTAGTACTTATTCATTTTATAAAGGAAAGTTTTACTCTGGCAAATATCTTCCCTCCTCTCTCAACCTATAATTCCTGGAAACCATTCTTCTGCCTTCTGTCACTCTGACATTGATTATTTATTAGATTCCACCAATAAGTGCAATGAGGTAGTCTGCTTATTCTATGTCTGGCTTATTCTATTTATTATATGCTCCTCAAGGTTCATCCATTTTGTTGTAAATAGCAGTATTTCTTTCTTTTTATGGCTGAATTCCATACAGCATGTTCCCTTTGTCCACTCAGCTGTGGGTGGATAGGCAGGGTATCCAATCCCCTGGTTACTGTGAATAGCACCACAGTGGTCATGGGAGTGTATTCTTGACACCTGATTTCATTTCAGATCTACTCACTCTGGTCATGACATTTACCAACTCCAGCAGTGATTCTTACACATTTCCGAGCATCAGCTCAGTGAAGTCTGCCTTGGTCCATATTTTTCATTTCCATGAGAGCTGGAATCAGAAGTCAGACACAGGCCACAGACAAGATGCACTAACTGAGATTAATGCAATTTTTTAAATGATGGAGCTCTTCAGAGAACTATTTTACTACTTTGGCCCCAAAAGCCGACCAACTGAGGACTTAATATATTTTTGATATTGGATCACAAATTTTCTACTACACCAAAGATAGGTATTTGGCTTGGTCTCTAAGAGAAAATGAAATGAAATCAAGGAGGATTTCATCCTGATCAAGACAGGAAACAACTGGCACACATGAAAATATCAGAGGACACAAGTCTTCCCAGAGCAAAGCAGGCAGTGAGGGTGAAGTGGTCTGTCCACCAGCAACACTTCTCAGAGCTTGGGGATGAGTTGGCTGTACTGGTCTGGGACAAAGGGCACGGGATCAACAGAAATAAGCAAGGAATCCAGAAGCAAGAGGCCGGGGGCCCACACCCAACAGATATGGGATTCATCACCAGGCATGAGGTCCGTGAAAATAGGCATGGGAGACATGAGCAATGGGCAAGAGGTCCCTGAGAAAAGGAAATGGAATCCATGAACAATGTAGATGAGGTCCATATCAAATGAGCACAGAGACAATGACCAAAGGTATGGGTCCCTAAAAATGGACACAAGGTCCATGAAAATGGATCTGGGCTCCACGAGCAATGGACATAGGAGTTCATAAAACAGACCTGAAACTGGACATGGGGTGCATGAAGATAGACCTGGGGTCCGTGAAAAAGGATACGAAGTCCATGAAAATGTGCCTGGGTAGGGGTCAGGGATTTAGCTCAGTGGTTCCACTGCCTGCCCTGCAAGTGAAAGGACCCAAGTCTGATCCCCGGTACCAAAAAAAAAACAAAGAAAATGTGCTTGGGGTCCAAGAACCCTAATGGGCATAGAATTAAAAACACTTGGCATGGAGCTCATAAGTGGATTTGAGTTCCATGAACAATAGGCATGGAGTCCATGAACAATGGCATGGGGTCCAAGAAGGGGCATAAGGTCCATAAACAAGGGGCATGAGATCAATGAATGGACCTGGTTTCCATGAACAATAAGGATAGGGCCCATAATGGGCCTGAGGTTCCAGAACAATGAGAATGTATTCTATAAATGGACATCAGATCCATGAACAATGGGCATGGGTACAGAAACAATGAATATGGAGTTCATGAATGGATATAGGGTCCAGAAAGGATGGGGCAAGGCCCAGGAATGGGCTTGGGATCCATGAAAAATATGGATGGTATTGATGAATGGGTTTATGGCCCATGAACATTAGGATTGAGGTTCATAAATGGACATGCGGTACATGAACAAGGGGCTGGGTTCTGTGAATGGACATGGGGCCCATGAACAATGGGAACAGGGTCTATGAACAATGAGGATGGGGTTCATCTATGTGCATGAGGTTTATGAGTGAATATAGGGTACATGAGCAATAGGTATGTGGTACCTGAACAATAGATACAATATCCATGAACAATGAACTTGGAGTCCATGAACAAAGGGCATGAGGCCATGAAGAATGGGCATAGGATCCTTGAAAATTAACATTGCTGCAATAAAATGGACATCAGGTACATGTAAATGGATACTAGGTGCATGGACATCGGATACATGAATACACTTGAGGACCATGAACAATGGGCCAATGGTCCATGAAAATGCATGAATATGCTCTGGGTACATGTGTACTGAGTAAGTGCTTCATGGAAATAGGTGTCAGGTCCATGGATAGTGGGCATGGAGTCCATTTAAATGAGCACAGAGTTCACAAAATGGAAATGAGGGCTATGAGCAACGAGTATGAGGCTCATGAAAATGGGCATGGGGTCCATGAAAAACAGGGTCTTGAGGAAAAGACACGGGGCTCAGAAACAAGATCTCCCCATTTCAGGCCTACACGCTCTTATGGCTAAGGGCAAGTAGCAAATTAGCTTTGACACCTACACAGACACAACCTGGGGAGATGAGTAAGCCCCCACCAGATAGGAAGAGATGTCACATGTCCTGCATGCAGGTCAATCAAAGGACCAAGGCTGGTCATGTTATCATCCTTGTGATCTACCCAGGAGCCACCCAGAACTACTTCTGAGAGACTTATGCCACAAGGACTGTGACAAAGGCATGGATGGGTCAGTCAGGGAAGGGCAGACATCTGCCAGAGGTCACTCAAATTGAAGTCCCCAGAGACCCAGGGTGGAGGAGGGAAGACCACCAGCCCTTCATTCTGAGTATTCCTGGCCTCTCTGCCCACCAGGATCCAGGAGAGGCTTGTCCTTGGAGGTCTGTCTCCAGGGTTCCCCTCTCAGGTGCAGTAGGACTGGCAGCCATGGAGGGGGATCATAGAGAGGAGATGGGAATCATAGGGAGGAGGTGGGGACCTGTGATCTCTGAGTTTTCATTCCTGCCTTGGAGGACTTTCTGTCAGTCAGGCAGCCTGCACTACTCACGAGGACAGAGCTTCCTCCAGTGACACCTACTGTCCCCCACCCACAGGGGCTGCCTTCAGGAGCCCAGTTTCTGAGATGAGAGTAGAGAGGAGATAGGTGGCTGCTCCCTGGCAAACTTTTTCTTTCCTTTGAGTGCTGGGGTTAGGGGCATGGAGAAACAGAGGGTGAATGAATGAAATTATGCATTCATGGAAGAATAAATGAATAAGACCAGCAAGTGAAGGGCGCGCTACTTCACAGAACTTACTGAGGATCGATCATGATGACAAATCCTCCTGACAATGACATCCATAGCAAATAGCAACACAGAGGGCACAAGAGCCTTGGGGATCTTAAAGTGCTGTGAGAGGCCTTTAATTGTGCTGTTCACACAGACCTAGGACAAAGGGGTGTCACACTCCCAAAGACGGGGATATTTACAGGGCTAGCCAGGCCCTCTCCACCTCGGTCTGAGCACAGGTGCTGTTCAGGATGGAGAACTTGGTCAACCACTCTATGGTCTTCACAATGTAAGTGCAGCGCACCTGAGAGGAAGACAGGAACATGAGGTTAGAAAACAGGGATACACTCCAATTCTGTAGCACAGGAGTCAGAATTACATCTAACAGAGGAGGAAGGAAAAAGAAAAGAAAAACTAAAACCAATACTACTAACCAGAGTCCCACCTGGTTAGTTAGGATGGTTAGGATGGTGGACAGAGGCTGCTGTGTGCCTCACTGGGCTGTCACTGGTCCTTGGGTTATCCTGTCCCCTCCAGCCTCCCCCACACTCATGCTGCTGGACACCTGAGGGTCCTAATAGAGCCAGGAGCTGTCCTGTGGGCACCCTCTACTGAGCAGAACACACCCCACCCCACCAAGCTGCCCCTGGACACTGATGATGCACCTAATGGGCATCTACCCTTGGGCTCCCAGATCACAGCCAGGTGGGCACGCCTGTAATCCCAGCACCCCGAGAGGCTGAGGCAGGTGAACTGCAAGTTCAACCCTAGCCTGAGCAACTTAGCAACTCAGCAAGACCCCATCTCAAAAACTATTTTTAATTAAAAATATAAAAGAGCTAGGGACGTGGTTCAGTGCAGAGGCCCTGGGTTCAATCCCTAGTACCAGAAAAAAAATATAAAACAGAATAAAGCTCCCAGATCCTGGTGAACAGGTGTCTGTCACAGGATGGCACTGTCAGAACCCCTCTCAACAGGAAATGCCCTCGGGACCCCAAACTGGAGGGAGAGGCTGGAGAGCAAAGGCATTAAACATTTCCAAGCCCCAAATATGAGGGGGGCCCCAGGGACATTGGAGTCTGTTGGACTCGAGGGCATCAGGAAGACCATGGCCGGGGCCAAAGCCAGGCTGCCTGAGGAGGGGACCCTGTGTCCAGTGTGGACACAGGAGCTATAGGAAGCAGAGTCAGGCCCTCACTGCCCAGGACCTGGAGTCCCACACCCTGAGCCTCTTCCCAGGCCTTCCTCCCTGTTACTTCCATTCCTAGAAGATCCTGTGCTTGGGGTGATTTCATCCTCACACCTTCCTCCTTCCTGTGTCTTGTTGCAGCAGGCAATTGTCAATGTCTTCATCGTGTTTTCTGCACACTGTGCGGCCCATCTCCAGGTCTATTAAATATGTCCCGGTAAAGAACTTGGAAAAAGAAATGGTAAAGCCTGCTGTGAAACACTGTTGGAATGCATCAAACCAGCATAACCAAACAAAAGCAAGAAGAGGAATTTAATGTGCCTGTCGGTAAAGTGAGCATGTCATGTGCAGTGGCTCTCATTTATTTCCATTTTTCCTCTTAATTCTTCATTCCTCTAAAAAAAAAAAAGTGTGTCTCGTGAGCTGGGCGTGTAGCTCAAGAGCAAGGCATGGGTTTAGCGTGTGCAAAGCCCTGGGTTAGACACCAGCTCCAACAAGTGCAAATGTCTGTCAGAGGCACCTAAACACACACAGGAGCCTCTCAACCATGTTCTCCCAAAGCCCTGTTGTGTGGGGCTGACATGGAGGTGTTCGAGTGACACATTCATACTGTTACACCCCACACAGCACAGACTGTGACTGGTGGTCACAGTCATCTTTCCATCCTGAGGAAGCAGGGCCCAGCGTGGGCACTGCCCGGACTGCTCCAGGCCCCAGGCACAACGTGATCAGGGGAAAGCAGGCTGTCCTCACCCTCCTTCTCCTGTCCCCATCCACTCCACTGCTGTGCTCAGCATGGACTCCTTGAGTCCATCATGACTCATGCCCAGAGCAACAGCCCACCTTCTTTTGTCCTGGTCTCCAGCCTGCCTGGGCAGCATGGGCTGCTACAGAGAACAATGTCCAGTGAACGGCTTGCTACCCATCCAAGGACCTCATTCAGTGCGGTCCCTGAAGCCCGAGATCAGCCTCCCCTTCACCCCACTCACAGTACCACCTCCTCCCTGTGCTTGCTGTTGTCCCCTGAACACAGCACCTGGCCAGCTCATGGGGGTCTCCCGCTGGCCACTGCTGTTCCCAAACCTCCCATGGCTGGGCTCTTCCAGGGCTGCCAGGCAGAGAAAGTACTTCCCTGACCTCCCCCGAAACAGCTCCTGCTTCCAGCCACCTCCCGTTTGTGCCCCTGTGCCCTGCTGTCTCCCTTTCTTCCTGCTGTCTCATTCTGGGGCTGGGGCTGCTTGGCTTCTGTCTGCCTGGTGCTGCAGCCTGGTGAGACCAGGTTCCTGTCTGGGCCGCTGCTGACTTCTTAGCAGAGATGCTCCTGCCCCCAGAGCCCAGCCCCTCATACTCCAGGCCTGCCAGCCATCCTGTGCCAAGTCCCCCAGCCCATGCAGGCTCTGTCTGAGGGCACCCATGCTTCTGTGCTCCTCTCCTGCCAGGTTCCTCTGCCCTTCCCTTCTGCCAGCCCTTTGGCACTGGGCATCCCCTCCCTGCCTTCCTTCTGCTTCCCTTCCTCCTGCCTGCCTCTCAGGGTGTGCTTATGAAAAGTCAAAGCAGAACCTTAGCTCCTCTCATGAGACTTTGGTTTTCATTTTAAACATTTGCCAAACTCAAAACTCAATCCTGCCCCGGATCACGCAAAGGTGGCCCCGCAAAGGACCTGGTCTTCTTACCTCGCCCTGGCTCTGCCAGACCCGAAGGAACTTGTAAGCAAATGGGTCCTCCTGGGCCTCATTGAAATGAAACACAACGTGCTCCACAGATATGGCAAAGGCCTTCCCATTCTTGTCAATGTCCACGAATTGGTCAGGGGTCCCCAGCACAAGGAACCCCACAAGCAGTGTCACCTTCCACAGCATGGCTGGCCCCTGTGTGAGCACCAGGCCAGGTCACGCAGTTCAGGGTAGTGGTGGAAGCAGCTCTCGACTCCTGGAACAGGATTCCACACAGCTCAGTCCACCAGAGCCCTGTGCTGCTGGCTACCTCCCTCTGCCACTCCCCAGCCTGAGCCCCGGTCATCGCTGTGCAGCACAGAGGAGGAGGTGGCAGTTCCCTCTACCCCACCCCAGGCTCAGGGGTACTCACACTGCATGCCTGGCAGCTGCCGGTTTGCAGCTCCAGCCCCTCTCAGGTACAGCATGAGAACAAACGGGGATGTTCCCTCTGCTGCCTCCTTCCCTGAGCCAGGCCTCACCTGTGTGCACAGAGCGGGAGGGCAGTGGGACTCTGGGGACATGAGGGAGGACAAGTCCCAGGCCAGAGCTCTGCAAGACAGGGCGTGGGTGGCAGCCAGCCCAAGGGCAAGGAGCTAGGGACAGCAGACCTGCCAGGAGTGACTCTGGCATCCTCCCCCTACACCCTGCAGCACCAAGGCCTTTGTGGACACTGGGTTCTGGTCCCTTCGCCCCAGTCCTGCCTGTCTCCTGCTGAAGCTGCTGGCAAGAGAACAACTGCAGGACTAGCAAGCTGGGGGCTCAGGAAGGCTGTAGGGATGGGGCAGATGCTCCCTGCCCAAGGTGTCAGGATACGCCATGGCCTTGCCATAGCCTCGAGGACAGGCCACAGGCAGAACAGGAATGCCCCAGGAAAAGATGGGAGTGTGGATGAAGGAACAGGCAGTCGTGGATGCCATCCTATAGCTTCTGAGAGGAGGAAGATCTCATGAGATGGCTGACAGTGCAGGACCCCAGGAACACAGCTTTCCAATGTGTGTGCTTCCCCGAGCTCTGGGTTTCCTACCTCATCATTCTCTTCCTTCCTGGCAGAGGTTGACTATGACACTTGACTGTCTGGTGGCAGGTGTGGTTATGATGGCCTTCTTCAACTCTGCATCCCTCTTGCCAAGGACTGTAGTTTTATTAGACCTTCCTGAGAACTGGCAACTGGACTCTTGACCCTTTACACACACTTGGTTCTCTCTCTCTTTCTCTCTCTCTCTCTCTCTGTCTCTCTCCTTTCCTCTCCTCTCCATATGGACGTTTGTTATACTCCCCCTTCTCTTTGCTCCAGGCCCAACTGGGAATTCCTTGCTTCTTTAGAGAGAACCTAGGCCATTGGCCACTGCTGTCTGCACTTCCAGGTCTACACCATGTCCTAGATGCCAGTGCCAGATGCACCTTCACAACCACCCTGCAGAAGATCTTAATTGTACACATATACAAGGCCATCCTAACCTGCATGGCAGTGACCTCTCCAGCCCACATGTGATTTAAAGGCATGTGGCTGAGTTTTCAAACATTTATCTTTATAATTTCTACCTCAGTTTCACTGTGGTCGGAGAACCCAATCTATCTGTGTAACACTGGCTCTTTGAAATCCATGAAGATGTGATTTATGAACCACAAGAAAGTCGGTGCTAAGAGATCTTCTATAGGATCAAAAGAATGCATGCTCTGCAGTGGTACAGAACACAGATGAGATTTGTTTAACAATTCTCAGGTTTTCGTGTTGAAGCAGGAAATAGCGAGGACCCCGGCACAGATAACTCTTTAACACAAAGATAGGAGCAAAAGCGGCTTTTAATGACACTGGCAGCTCAGTGAATGACTTCTGTCAGTCTCAAGGGCCCTGAATAGAAGTTTGTGCTTTCTTATATAACTTTTTTTACATTGACGAAGCTTAATTCCATTGGCGTTTTCCTGGGAATATAGCAAATAGAATTTTCACAAAGCAAAGCAGTGGAGAGGGCGAGAGCAAAGAGTTCTGGTGGGACTTCTGAGTCCATTACACTCCTTAGATGACAGATTACAGAAGTCGTCATGGCTGCTCAGGTACATTCTACAAAGACCATAGTTACCTAGTTAACCCATAGTTGCCTAATAGCACAGTTAACCCATAGTTTCCTAACACAGTTAACTCATAGTTGCCCAATTCCATATGGAGGGGTGGCCTCCTCTCTCAATGTGTTCCTTCTGTCGTTATTCTGTGATGTAATCACTTACTGGGAAAGGTGTGTGGAACTCTCCTGCAAGGATGCTAGGTTGGAAGTTTCCAGAGGGTGTATGAGTGAATGTGTGTGCATGTGAAGGAAAGGACAGATGGAAGGAAGGGACAGATGGATGGATGGATGGATAGATGGATGGATGGATGGATGGGTGGATGGATGGGTGGGTGGAGGAATGAATGACCAGATGGACAGAAGGAGCAATGGATGTTTGAAGAGCACACAGCCACCCAGCAGGAACTCCTGGGGCTGCTTCAGGTCCAGAGGAGTTTGGTCCACTCAGCACCCTGTATCTGCTGCCAAGGGGATAATAATAATGTCAAGAGAGTCCCCACTGTCTGCCATGGATAGTGAATCCTAGGGAAGTAAATGTCACAAGTGTCACACAACTACACAGGGACCCAGAAGTATAGGAGAGGCCTTAAATTGAACCACAGCTGCACAGACCTGGGACTGTAGACTGTTTCTCCCAGAGAAAGTGGCAAGTCTGGGGCCTAGATCTACACACAGTACAGGAGGGCAAACCGGGAGAACCATGCCAGGCAGCCACTGTGAATAGGCAGTGCCCAGGCAAAGAACCAGATGAAACACAGAAATGAGGAAAACAGGACGTGCTTAGCTCTTTAGCACACAGCAGGTTTGGAAGGGGCATTACAAACCAAATTTAACAGAAGAAAAAGAAAGGGAAAGGTAAAACAAATGTCAAATGGAGCTGGGCTAGTGGGCAAAGGCTGCTGTGTGCTTCATTGGGCACAAGTCTTGAGGCACTTCCTGGGCCGCCACTGCCCCTGAGGCAGCCTATCCCCTCCAGCCTCCCCTGCACACATGCTTCTAGATGAATGTCCCTACCTGAAGGCTCTGAGAGAATCAGGAGGTTCCCTGTGGGTGCCCTCACTGAGTAGAACACACTCCAATCCATGTGAGCTCTAGACACTTGACAGTGACCAATGGATGCCCACTGACAATGACTGATGGATGGCACTGTCAGAACCCCGCTCAACAGGAAATGCCCTCGGGACCCCAATTGGAGGGAGAGGCTGGAGAGTAAAGGCATTAAACAGTCCCAAGCTCCAAACATGGACATTGGAATCTGCTGGACTCAAGGGCATCAGGAAAGCCAGGGCTGGGGCCAAGAGCCAGGCTGCCTGAGGAGGGAACTCTGTGTCCAGCGTGGAGCCTGGAGCTACAGGAAGCAGGGTCAGGCCCTCACCTCTCAGGACCCAGTATCCCCCGCCCTAAGCCTCCTTCCAGGCCTTCCTCCCTATTGCCTCTGTTCCTGGAAGACCCAGTTCTTGGGGTGATTTCATTCTCACACCTTCCTCTGTCATGTGTCTTGTTGCAATAGGCAGTTGTCAATGTCTGTGTTGTGTTTTCTGCACACTGTGTGGCCCATCTCCAAGTCTATTAAAAATATCATTGTCCATGTCTGTCAGGAAGAAATTGTACAAATAACTGCTAAATATCTGCTTTCATGACCGAGAAGACACAGAAGCAAGCAGAGGAGTGGGTGCATGCTGGAATGTGCCTGTGTCCACAAAGAGGCACAGACATCACCTGCAATGTCTGTGGGGGACAGAAACATGCCCCTAAGTCCCCCTAAGATGTGCTCGGAAGTCCCCTTAAGACAGGCCAAAACTCCCTGCAGCTCTCCTCAAGCTGGCACATCACACAATCAAATCCCACACAGCACCAGCCTCACTCACACACCCACACCCACACACCCTTATTATAGACAACTAAATTAGGTAGAAATATTATAGGCAGTCAGACAGGGCTGGGCTCCTCAGGGAGTCAGTGCAGAAGACAAGAACAAAGATTAAAGTCACAATGGCTAGATTTACATCCCTAAGGGGTAAACAGAAGCTTGAGATTGTTGGTTTCCCATTATGTCATTAGGGCTGGACCATCCTCTCCCACTCACTAAGACTAAGAGTAAGACTACTAAGACTAAAACTACTAAAACTAAGATGAAAGACACACTAGGACTATAGATTACCGATCAAGGTTAATGATGTCATCCATAGGCCCTTGCTATTACTAGATCAGTATTAGCCAAGTGGCTATACTTGTAATCTTATTGATTGTAGTTTTGACCCATGTTGTATCCACCTTGTGATTTTGCTCTATAAAACTTTCTCAGAGAAGTGGGCTCATTGGCAACCCATTCAGGACCCCTTCTGCTCTCAGGAGCTACTTTATTCCCCATTCCTATTCCCCAATAAATTTCCTACTCTTAACCTCTGTTGTTCCTTAGAATTCATTCTTCAACTTTGGGAAACACAAACTCAGCATATCTAACATCTAACAGGTTGGGAGTTACATATTTTTTCCCCTGTATCACCCTCACAGTGCACACACACCCTTTCTCACATCTTCCAGCCCTCCTTCCTCTCCCACACTGAGCAGAGGGTTACATGGTGGTGGCAACAGTGGGGGGGTTGGAGGGGTACAGTGCTCAGTGGCACAGGCTCTGTGTCCAGACAAGGTCATTTGGCCACAGGAGGAGCCTCAAGGGCAGAAGGCCCTTCTGATCACATCCCCGGGCTGTGAGTCTGTGTCCTCATGGGTGCCTATTGTCATCCCGTCATGCTCAGAGCTCTCCTGGGGTACACAAGGATAGCACTCACCACACTCTTGGCCAGCCCAACCTCTGGCATCCTGTGCATGTTGGCTTCAGAGCTGACCTAGCTGAACTGAGCCGCAGAAATTCCATCACCATGTAGGGTACCAATTTTGCCTATACTCAAAGACTGGGAGACATAAGGGAACCTGAGGACACTTAAGTACACAACTCTGCTCTCAGGAACATGCACATAATGTGCCACAGTTATCTAAGAATGTCTTGACATACTTAACCACACATGCACAGCACGGCCAAGGTCATGCAGCAGGTGTTTTTTCTCTTCATGCTGTGTTTGCTGTGTAGCTATGTAGCTGTTTTCTGCTGTTTTGCTAAAGGAATAAAGACATGCCACTCTTGAGCTCTAGAGCTGCAGCTCCAACTCTTTGCTCTGATGCTGCCCTGATGCTGATGATTATCTCTGAGTGTGTTGTTCTGTTCTTATTGGGGAATTATTTAACTCACTCAAGAGGGACTATTTGATTAAACAGACCCCTCTCCAGGTGTCTCTTGGGGAGGCTTGGTCTCAGAGGCCTTGCCTGTGCCTTCACAACTGGTGTAGTTGGCAGGATGCCCTCACACACCACTGTCAAATCCTCTGCATCCTCATTGGCATCCGCAAATGCCTTCTCCATTGTCCAGAGGTGAGTGCCCAGCATGAGCAGCACCCCAGCAGGGGCACCATCCACAGCATGATGTCTCCACATCAGCACTGGGGACCAGGCACCAGGGGTGGAGCAGGGGTGCCGGCTGTGGCTAAAGACACCTTGCTGCTCCAGATCCACTGGCCCTGCCCACTGGGACCTGTGATGCTGACTGCCTTCTTCACCACTCCCTGTCTCCAACCCCGTTGACAAAAGCCCTGGCCCTAAGCATGTGCAAGCTGAATACCCTCCACCTGCACACCCACAGAGTCCAGCAATGCCTGGGAATGCCCTTGAGCATCTCAGGAGGGGAAGCAGTGGCCAAGCTGCCTGTTACCTTGGCCGGAGCCTGCAGGCCAGATGGGTTCACTGAATTTGGGGTGTGAGGCCAGCATCATGGGGGCATCTGTGAGAATCATTATTGCTGCCACCTCCTCCCCATGAATGTCACTGGCCCCATCCCTCCTACCTGATGCGTCACTGTATCCGAGTTGGGGCCTTATCCAGGTTTCCAATATCCTGAACAAAAAACTGAGCAGGATGCCCTAACAGCTGCATTCAGGGGTCTCTCGCCCCTGAAGCCATCTGCAGTATCTTATGTAAATCTTACTGAATGTTAAAATGGAATTGTTTATCAAGACTGGTTTCCATGCTGGCCAGAGAAAAATACAAAATTTTCCACAGTAGGCAGAGAAGCCACTAGAACAGGAACTGAACCAGTCAGGAGCAGAGTGAAGACTCAGGGAAGTAGCTTGTACTTCCTGTTCTCCTGGCCCAGCAGCCAAGAAGTGAGGTGAGGTCAGCCTTGGGTGGCAGGGACACAACAAGGGGATCTCAAGTCTCCACCAAAACCACATTGTTGCTGTGTGGGCAGTGTCGCCCCCACCCAAGATGCCCCCTCCTGTCTCACAGCTGCTTCTGACCTCAGCTGTCCACCCTGACAATGGTGAGGTCCTGAGCTACAGCCATGCTGAGCCCCCCTGCCATGGTCACTCACTAGAGCTGAGGAGGCAGAGCTGGTGTGGAGCCCAGGTCCACAGAACCCAGCCTGATGGCTCTGCCCCACCAGGAGGCCCCGGGGCATGCCTGCTCCTCTCCTGGTTCCACACCAGAAAAGCCAGACAGCACGGCTCGTAGACAAGGAGGCTCAGGCCATGTGCTGCTATATGGGCTGGGAAGGAGGTGCACAGGGTGATGGGTTGGGGAGCAAGAGTTTCCCCCAAGGCCTGTGTGGAAGTCTAGGTCCCAGGCTTCACCCTGCCATTCAGTCCCTGCAGTACTGTTCCTTCTTGCTACCAACCAAGGCAACGGGGCCACTGATGGTGACCATAGGCTGGATCTGCTGTGCTTATGCACAGACTCCTCCTCTGCTAAACTGTATCCCCGTGTCTGAAATGGGGACAGGAAGCTGGAAGCACAGCAGCTTCAACACATGCTCCAGGTTCCACCCATTCCGAGAGACCAGGGAGTCCTGGAGGAGATGGAGAGCATGTGTTGTCTCAGAGTCACTTGAAAGCTGGCTTGGGATGGAAGGCACAGCAGAGTTCACCGAAGGGTTCCTAAGTGTCCCTGTCCCCTCAGGGCAATCCCCTATGCTGGCTAAGGTCCAGGGCTGCCCCTGGCCCTCCAAGGCTGAGCACTGTTACTGCAGAGGGGAGGCCAGGCCAGGGCATCTGGGAGGAGGTGCAGCAGAAAGATCAAAGGGAAGAAATGGGATCAGGACCCAGAGCCAGGCAGGATGTGGCATCACCCACTGCTCAGTGACCCAGTAGGGAGGCAAGTAGGTGGCAGAAAGAGAACCCACAGGGTCTGGCAAGAGCCACAGGAAGTACTGGAGGCTTCTGTCCTGGGCTGGGCACCTGGAAGGGAGGAGCCAGGCCACCCACTGAAGCAGGAATTGAAAATCACCAGATCTGCACATAGAAGGGTACATGGGGGCAAACTCACAATTAAACCCAGAGGCACCCCTGGCAAGGGGTCCTTCTGAGCCCCTCCTGCTCCAACTGCCCAGTGTTAAATGCTTATGTCAAGATTTCCAGTCTGGTGACCCAGCAGCCAGGAGAGGGTAGAGAGGGCACACGGCCTTGTGTCCATTGTCAGCTCCACATCCTGGACCCCAACATCCCCTACCCCCTCCTCTCCTGACCCTGGACCTGCCACCGCTATGCTCAGGGTATTCTGTGGACAGAGGCCCAGCCTATTCCACCCACCACCACCATGTGTTCCGGAATGTGGATGTGTGTGAATGTGATGTACATATATGAGTATGTGTCCACAGGTATGCACATGTGTGAGTGCATGTGTGTTCCTGAGTATGTGTGTGCATGTATGTCTTAGTTACTTTTCTTTAGTTCCTGAGACAAAATACCCGACATCCAAGGGAAAGGTTTATTTGCCTTCCAGTTCGTAGAGGTTTCAGTCCATAATCTATTGGCTCCAAGGCAGGCTGGCAGAGCGGTAGCAGTTCATGGCAGACAGTAGCAAAGCAACAAGAGAGCTTAACAGTGTTTTTCTGCTCTCTTATCTTATTCAGACTACCAGAATTAGGGCAGTGCCAAACCAATCACTCATATGTAGTGGTTTAGTAATAACATGCCCTTGATCCTAGCATCACACATTCCAGATTTAGCTGTCTTCAAAAAAGATTGCATGAGGCTTTGATAGGACATCTAGACACTAGCCACAACAATGCATATGCATGCTTGCATAATGAACTCTGGCTTCTGGGGAAGTGTGAGGTAGGAGTGAGCTGGCACTGCTGGGGAGAGGCAGGGTGGGGAGCAGAGTAGGAGGAGGGGACAGCCTGGGCATCATTGCTGACTGCACTTAAGTCCCCTGGGTAGGTGGCCTGGTGCAATCCCAGCCCTGGGAGGCAAGGGGGTTAGGGGACAATGGCTTGGCCCTGGCAGGCCCTGCAGCTCCCACTGGCCATTCTGGTGGTGCTTGTGGCCTTCAGTGACCAATTCAGGAGGAGAACCTTCATCAGCATGAATGAGGAGACAGCAGTGAGCCAGTTGGTGCCCCAGACCTTGTACTACCTCAATGACCAGTACAACCAGGAGAGTGAGGACACATACAGCTTGCGGATATTTCGGGTGCTCCGGGTACAGAGGCGGGTGGGTGTCGTGCTCCTGTCCTCTCTGCCCTTGCACCAGAGAGCCCCTGGAGGCCTCCTGGCCTACAATGCAGAGTCTTAGGAGAAGCACACTCGAAGGGCAGTTGAAGCTGGCCTTTCAGTGATCTCTGAGGTCAGGGGAAGCCAGTAATTTGCCCAGAGACAGGTGTGTCTGCAGCCTCCAGAATGCCACAGTGCTAGCAGGCCATGGGTGTCCACACCATCTGAAGCCAGTCACGCCTCCACAGCACAGGCGAGGATGGCGAGAGACTGTGTGGCCCCCAGAGCTTAGAATGTTCGCTGTCTGGTCCCTCACAGAAAGAGTTTTCAGGGCCTGGATCCCTTATCTGGTTCATGTTATCCTTGGTAGCCTCATCCCTGAGCAAGATGGTTTCTGGTGAATTTTCCTTGGATAGTGGTTGACGTGGTGGTTGTTGTTGTTAAGAAAGGGTCTTGCTGAGTTGCCTGGCCCTGAACTCACAAGATCCAGCATTTTTTTTTTTTTTTTTTTGAGACAGAATCTCCCTATGTTACCCATATTGGCTTTGAACTTGAGGTCCTCTTACCTCAGCCTCCTGAGTAGGTGAATTCTGTTGAATAGCAAAAAAAGAGGCATGAGGTCAGACTAGAAGAGGGGCACCCACCTCTGCACTAGGTGCAATGTAGAGAGAGCCCCCGTGGGCCACAGCCACAAGGAAGAGAGAAGAGGGTGTGCTACACTTCCCTCCCTCCTCTGCCCACAGGTGACCGACCACCTGGAATATCGCATCCAGGTGGAGATGTGGAGAACCAGGTGCCTGAAGCCAAAGTTCAGCAACTGTGCCCCTCAGGAGGGGGTGCAGTACAAGGTACTGGGCCAAGCACAACTTGGGTGTACAGATGCACTGCTCAGTGGGGTTCACCCGCCGTCTGAGATTGGGCAGGACAGCACATTGTGGGTTTGCCCTAGCTTGCTTGAAGAGACCAAGGATTGAACCTCTTCTGGGAGAGGCGACGTAAGATGGGGACAGCCAAGGCATCTCTCTTGAGCTGTCAGGAGGATCAGGACATGGAGGAACATAGGTGAAACAGTGGGGAACATTTAGCTTCTGCAGCCAGGGACAAGCCATCCTTCCACTCCTGTGCTCAGGTAGTCCCCGGCAGAGCTGGAGTGGGGACAGGAAAAAGAATGCAGAGAGGACTCAAATGGGGAATGGCCCAAGGGAGGCTCCTGCCCCAAAGGCAGCTCAGCAGGCTGACCACAGACAGGAAGATGTTTTCTAGAATGACCCCAGCAATGTCCTATCAAGTGACTGAAAGCAAATGAATATCCAGCCAGATCTGGGTTGGAGGGTGGAGAGCAGGGATCACTTCCAGGTCTGACATCTCCGCTTTTTCCCTGGTGTGTAAATTTCACCTTGCACTTTGATCTTTTTAACTTGAATGTTTGTTTTTTAGCAAATCCAATGCTGCTCCTCTGATCTTTTTAATGGGGTGGGGGTGGTGTGTTCTTGTGTTCTAGCAAATAGAATGCTACTTCTCCGTGTATGTGAACCCCTGGGCTGAAAAGTACAAGATCTTGAAGAAGTACTGCGAGGACAGCAACTTCCCTGTGGCTGCTTCCAGGGAGGATCCCAGAACCCCCAGTGCACAGTAAATGCTGCTGACCTCTCTCCTGATGATCATCATGCTGTAGTTCCTCTCTTTTGCTTTCTCCTCAATTCTTCAGCTTGTAATACTATAATGTGAGTGTCTGCTGGGCCAGCACAGTTTTGGGATCCAAATGAGTCTTTAGGGTTCAAAGTAAGATGGAGAAGAGAAGAAGAGGGAAGTCCTCAAGCCAGCAGACTCAAGAGAATACATAGGGGAGTCTCTCAGGAGTTTGTGAGGAGAGACACGACTCTTCACTCCAAGTAGAAAACAAGGAGTACAACACACACAAAAAAAAAAGAAAGAAAGAGGGCTGGGGATTTAGCTCAGTGGTGCTGTGCCTACCTCGCAAGTGCAAGGTCCAGAGTTTTATCCCCGGTACCAAGATAGAGAGAAAGAGAGAGAAAGAGAGGGAGAGAGAGAAAAAAAGGAAGGAAGGGGAAGGGAAGGAGCAAAGAAAGGAAGGAAGGATGGAAGGAAGGGAGGAAGGAAGGAAGGAAGGAAGGAAGGAAGGAAGGAAGGAAGGAAGGAAGACCCTTACCTTTCTCATCTTAACAAAGAAACACAGTCCCTACTTCTTGGACTAATGACAAAGATTAAATACAATCATGTGTGAAAGTTGCCAATACCACGCCCGCCTGGGACAGGGATTTAAAAAATGCCAACTGCAACAGGAAAACTGGCAAGAACAGTGTGGCAGTGGCAGTCACTTAACATTAATCAGCAATCAACGCATTAACCTTGGGTAGAGAAAAAGAGATACATCATTTGTGCCCATGAATAGCCTGGACTTTTGAGGTAAGGTTTGGGATTTTTTTTTCTGTGATGTTGAAATAATCATATTTTTGCCGGAATTTGTAAGGATAGTGCAGAGAAGTCCCCTGTGCTCCTCCTCTGTTTCCCCTGATAGCTCCAGCTCCTGGCTGTTCTCTTGTATGGTCAAAGAATAAAACCTCGGACAAAGGAGGAGGTTAAGGAGGAAGTTTGTTGGACACATAAGGAGACAGCCCCTGGCAGTTGGGAGAGGTCTCAAAATGGGGTTCCAGAGTGGGCTCTTTGGCCAGGCTCTTCAAGGATAAGCAGAGCACAGGGATCTGCTCAGTGGTCTTTGTCACAGGTAGCCTCTTGGGTTTAAAGTAACCAACTGGGGCTCAGGGTTTTTAATGCAGAGTTCAGAAGAAAAGCCAGTTACTCAGCCTTCTTAGAAACCTGACCAGGATGTAGAGAGAGGTAGTTTATTTGGGGCATTCCATCCCACTTAAAGAATTTCTTTCCTGGGGCCAGAGTCCTCATTGCCTGACCTTATCTTAACACTTACCATTTTCCCATTTGCTTTCACTTCTTCTTCTTTTTTTTTTTTTTGGTACCGGGGATCGAACTGGGGACCTTGTGCTTGCAAGGCAGGCGCTGGAACCACTGAGCTAAATCCCTGGCTTGCTTTTACATTTCTGAGCTTAGCTGTCTTTATGGTGTGAGTTAGTGCTTAACCTGGTGTACATGCTGGTTTCTTTGTAAGGCTGATCATCTTAGGCCCCGTCTCATGCTAGCTGTCTACTTATAGGCTAAATAGCTAAACAGTCTTGTACATTATAGAATTATAGAAAAATATCACAGCCAAGAAGTCAGCCTTGGGATATGTGTTGGTCAGTTCCCCATTGCTGAACACCCAACATCCACAACCTAGAGGAGGAAATGTTTATTTGGCTCACGGCTTTGGTCACGCTCCATGGTCAGCTGGCTCTGAGACAGAAACATCATGGCAGAACTATGTGAGGGAGGAAGCTACTTGATTTGTGGCAGCCAGGAGGCACAGAGAGGAAGAAGAGGCAGAGAGGAAGGGGTTAGGGGCTGGGCACAGTCTTCAAAGTCACATCTTGTGACCCACACAGACACACGCGAAAGTGTGTTTTACCAATCTCCTAGATGTCTCCCCAGCCGATCGAGTTGAGAGTCAAGATTAATCATCACAGTACTGTGTGTGTGTGTGTGTGTGTGTGTGTGTGTGTGAGAGAGAGAGAGAGAGAGAGAGAGAGAGAGAGAGAGAGAGAGGGACTTCGTCACAGATATTCATAGCCACTCCATCCCAGGAGCCCCATTGTGCTGGTCCCCAGGTCTGTGAGTCTTACCCATCATAGCCACCAGCTGATACCAGCCTTGTTATATGCCAATAATAAAAGCAAGGCAGGCAGGTGGGGTGAGGAAAGTTCACTTTTCAGAGCAATGTCATAAAGTTTAGTGAAACATTATAAAATATGTGAAATGACATTAAATAAAAATAGAAATAGAACAATTAGCCTGACCACATAAATAAAAGATGTAAAATAAAAAAGAACTTAAAGGTTGAACAAGGTTTATTTTAGTAAGTACTTAATATTAGAAAAGCAAATTAAGGAAAAAATAAAAAGTGTGAAAATGCCCATCCTATCATGGACCAGTTCTCTCATGATGTGTTCACAGCACACGTGTGTGTCTGAGACAGACAAGAAGTACTTGACTCTCATTTTTCCTATGCGGGCTGGAGGGGAGGTGGCTTAGCTGGTGCTTGTAGTGCCCCTTTCCCTCGCCCTCCTTTGCTCCCCCTCTCACCCCAGTGGACTGGGACCATTTTCTTTAGTGCCCTCCCTGTTCTGCCTTGGTTCTCTGCTCCAAAAGGAGTGCAGACAGGCAGGTAGCACGGTGTCCCCAGCACGACACCAATTCAGACTCTGCTGCTTCCTTTTTGAAGAAGGGAGGGACGGCTTAGAGTGGCTAAAAGGAGGGAGGGAGGGATTTGGGCCCTTTATTTTCATGGCCACCATTCATAGCAAGCTTTCAGTCCTGCCTTTCACTAACCCAAGCCTGCAGCTGCTGTATGCAGCACTCCCTCCCCAGCCACTTCTCAGGTTAGTCTAGGAGGGCTCCCTTTATGTACTGACCCTGAGCTGCAGCACAAGCCCTGTTAGGATAAAAACTTGCTTTGATGGCCTTGAAAACCTGCTCATGATTTATTTCTTTGCTAGTGTAGGCTCCAAAAGTCCTATAAATCTACTTGGAATTTTTATCCCAAGTAGTGTGAACAGAGTGGTCATTTCCAAAGGAAGATGAATAAATACTTAAGAGCTGTTAACACCAAAGAGTTCCAGAGACCAGCACCCAGTGAAGATCAGTTTCAGTGACCAGAACCCAGTAGAGTTGACCTATGATGTCTAGCAGCTAGCTGTGTCAACTATTGGCATCCAGCATTATCCAGTGTCATCTGGTGACATCAGGACTGCTGCCAGAGCTGTGCCTTGCCAATTCACAATTTCCACCTGAATCTAGCAAAAGAATACTAGGCTGACAGGCAACGAACTCACCATTAGACAGGCATACACAAACAGTACACGTAGACTGAGGGCAGGAAGCCAGACACAAAGCATCTCCCCCAGGACCCCATCCCATTCCACACTCAGCTGGGCATTGGAATCTGGGCCTGGCTGCCTCGGTGGCTCCTCCCCTGCACTGCAGAGGTGAAAACTATCTTTCCAGAAGGCTACTGTGGTGATGATGAAGGCTCAGGGGCAGGAAGTATGCTGGGCGAGAGGCCCAGCCTTGCACAGCAATGTCACCAGCCCTACACCTCCCCTGCACCCCACCCCAAGCTCTTTGGAAAACTTAAGGTCTTGTGGGTTGTACACTCTGGAGGTGCCTAGGACTTGGGTAGAGGGAGGTGACCTGGGACTGGGGAGGACAGGAAGGGTCTATGGTGCACAAGCTAGCCCCCAATCACACCCAAGTCCTGGGGTGGCCTGGCTGCACCTTTACCCCTCATCTCTGAAGTCACTGGAGGAAGATCCCCCAGAACCACAAGAATGCAGTGGGTCAGTGACCCACTGTGGAATAAGATTGCCCAGGCAAGCTGGAGTGGGGACCATCATGCTGATGGAGACCCCCACCCCCAGCAGAGGGCCTTGGGGGTCCAACCCTTACAAAACATGGGCCCCTTGCTGAACCATGCTCTAGCTCTGAAGTATGGAGTCTGGCACGTGCTGGGCAGAGGTGTTCACACCTCCAACCCACATCGAAGACCTGGGCCTGGAGTCTCTGGCCTGCGTCCCCTCCAGACAGTACAGCATCAGTGTTGCCAAACATTGATAGGGGGACCAGGCACTCTCCCCACCTGTGCTGGGAGAGAACTTCCCTACACCCCACTTCCTGTTCCTGGCTGAGCCACTCTCAGCCCTGAAGTCAACTGTGCCCCGGAGCCTGTGTGACCTCTAGAGAATCTCTTGCCTAGGTTTGGTTTGGGGAGCCCAGACACATTTGCCATGACCTGTGTGGGTCACAGCATTGTGTGTGTGGATGGCATACAGGGCTGCCCCAAGTGGGTAGGCATCAGGATGTGCCTGCACCCAGAAAAGCCTAGAGAGTCCAGTGACAGACAGCCAGGGCCCCCAAGGGGTCGCACCCTCATGGCTGAATGTGCCATATGTGTGAGGTGGGAATGTGTGTGCATAATGAGAGTGAGCACAGGAATGGGAGTATGAGGGTATGGGGATGTGGGGGTGTGCATGTGTGCACTAAGGGTATCCCTGGTGTGGGTGCTGCGGCATGTCTGGGTTATAAGGGTGAAGAGCACTGTGCATGCATGTGAGTGCACATGCATGTGGGCGCATGTGTGTGTAAGTGCATGTGCATGTGCATTGAGACCCAAGCAAGGGACATGGTCTTGCAGAACTTTATCACGGCTGGTGCCCAGTGCAGCCATTTGAGGTCCCACAGGTTTCCTGAGCGCTCAGCCCTCCAGGCAGGAGTTGTTCCAGAGCTGGAAATAGTTTAGCCAGGGTACAGTGTAGATCAGTGACTCACAGACCAGGCTCTGAGGAACGGAAGGAAAGTAGGCCCTGAGTTTGGGGGTGGGGTGAGGTGGGACACCTTTCCAAGGCAAGGCCACCCATGCCACTTGTGGGGACAGGAGGCAGGGCTCAAGGATGGCATCCAGTGAAGCGACCCTGTCCCTCCCCACCCTGCACCCACTGAGGTGGAGCACCAAGGGTCAAGAAAGGCAGAGAGGGAGGGAGGAACTTGGGAGGTGGGAGGAAGAGGACAACAGATAGATCATCAGCCCTAGGAGTGGAGCACAAGGCCAGGCAAGGCCCTGGAGAAGGGAGGGCAGCTATGCCCAGGGAAGAATCAGGGAGCCGGATGACCAGGCAGGGGTGAGGCTTGCAGCCTGGCCCTGCAGTGGCAGGAAGAGCAGTCATCCAGGAGTTTGGTTCCAATGCCCACTCGCCCAGCGCCCCTCAGGTGACCACAGCAGCACCTTCTTCAGCTTCTTGTCCTGCAGGGGGCAGGAGGCACTGCTTCGGGCCGGGTCTGTCCTCGTGCACGTGGTCCTGCCTATCCTCACAGTGACCAGGTACTCCACACCTGTTGTCAACTGCCAGAAGGAGCAAAGTGCTATGCTATAGTTTCCAGCCTCCTGAGAGGAGCCTAGACTGGGACGGAACCCCCTTCACTGCCCTCAGCTACTTCCCTCTCTGCCAGTGCGGGTGGTGGGTTGGACTCTGGCAGCCAAGGCCATGCTCTCTGGGCTGGCTTTGCCTGGGCATCCACAGGTGGCTTCTCACCCATGTCCATCCACCCTGGGGACACAAGGTCCTCACAATCTATCCTCCTGCTCTCCTCCTGCCAATCTGAGGGGATCACACCAATGGACACTCATGCCACTTACTGACTAACCCTGAGCAAGTTACCTGCCAGTCTCAGTTTCACCATTCAGTCCAAATGATCATTGGGCCTGTTGGAGGCACTGTTGTGTGGGCTGAGGGGCATGTGCATTTCACTTCATGCATAAAAATGTATAAGCTTTCAGCCTTTTAGCAGTGTCTAGAATGTTACTCTGGAGTAGATATAGCTTAGGAGTGCTGCAGGGAGAAGACAGACCCATGTCCTCCTAGCTGTGCAGGGAAGGAAGGGGGCATGGCAAACACTGGCAGCTCTAGACCTTGCCTGTGCTGGGCTGTGTCTCCTTCCTGCTCCTTGTCCAGGGGAGGAAGGTCAGGAAGGGCAGCCACTGACCAGAGTGAGCCTCTACAGGCAGTGTGGTATTTACTGTCCTGGGGGACAGAGCTGGGCCATCCAGGTGAGTGTGTGGATCTGGAGCTCCGCACCAGGACAGCCGCTGGAGCCCCTGGCACCTGCCAAATGTCAGCCGTCAATGGCTGACCTCGGTCCTCTCTGGGATGGGTGATAGCACTGTGCCCACCCTGCTCCTGGAGGAGAAACACTGGAAATTCAGGGCCAGCCCCAGGGGACTTGGCAGTGCCAGGACCCAGGTCCAGTCCCAGTGGAAGCCCTAACACTGCTGTCTTCCCAGGGCAACCCCAACCCCAACACACACCCTGCGTCTTGAGCTGAGCCCAGCCTTGTCATGCCCACTGCCTGCTTGCTGTGTAGAGGAGAGAGCTAAGACTTTGGCCACATGTCCAATTGACATGCCATGGTGGGAGATGCTGTCCTGTTCCTTACTAGACCTGATTTTTAGGGAGAGTAGGAATGGCCCTAACAAAGCAAATGCAAAAGCAAATAGTTGTCACGGGTTCTGCCAGCCAACACTGATGTGCTAAGCTCTTTCTTCTTATCCTGTTGCACTTGGCAGGTGAGAAAACTTCGGCCTGCAGAGTGCAGATGACACTTGCTCTCAAGGTCCCCACCAGGAGAAGCTGGGCATCTGAGCCCAGGGGACCTGGGCAGCCTCCCCACCCTGGGCCTGCAGCACCCACTGTGAGTGTCTGCAAGGGATACTAACAGTGGGTCTGGGTGTGGGGTGCTGCCCCGGGACAGGCCCCCTCTGGCTGCCTATCATTGGAGTGGCATTGGGAGTTTGCTGAGAAACAGCTTTCCCATTTAGCTGTTCATGAGGATGGGTGATTTCACAAGCAGCCTCTGTGGAGTCTCATCACAGCCCTGGGAGCCCAACCGGAAGAGCGCACCAAGGAGGACACTGCCCCCTGATGGTCAAAGTACAGAAAGGAGACTGGGGGGTGGGGAGCAACAGTCTCCTGGGCCTGGACAGGACATTGTCACCAGCCCTGCCCACAGGCCCACGCCCTCCCCTCTTCCTGATGTCTCCTCTTCCAACGCCTGCTCTTCTCTCTTTGTTCTTTGCCCCTTGTCAGTGATTTTCCCAAAGCTGGCTAAACCAGATGTGTCCCTGCTCTGTCCTAACTCATATCCTTCACTATCTGACGTTGAGGGAAGGAGGCTGGGCCAGCAAGAGCAATTTCCAGATAGCTTTCCCTTCCTCTATTATCCTCAACTGATGCATTTCAGAGAAATGATGTGTGAAACAAAAGAGGTAATCTGGCTGAAGTCTGTCCCTCACTCCCAAACCTCCCTGCCAAAGACTCTCTGCAATTTCCAGGTGTCTGCAGAACACAGAGACCCAGTGTGGGAGTTTACAACCCTGAACAATGGGAAAACTTTGCTGGGAAGGGGAAACCCATGGACCTTCAGAGAAAGCAAACCATGTGAAGGTGTCAGAACCCAGGTAAGACCTGGAGTCAGGATGGTAGGCAGCTGTCCCCAGGGGGCTGCAGTGGGGACTTACATGAGCCCCTTCCATGTGAAGCTGCACTCTGCCCCACCCCACTCCACCCTGCATGAAGTCACCATCAGCCTGCTCTGTAAGGAGCCCCCTAAGTCTAAGACAGCAAGAGTGTGGGCCATGCCAGCCTGGGAGAACTGAGGCACTGACCTGCACCTGAGTGCGGATGAGCTTCTGGACCCGGAATAAGTAGGTGTCGTTGCTGGCGTTGTTGTAGGACTGGATGAAGAAGTCCAGAGTCGAGTTCATGTTTTCCTTGCTCATGGGCTTCTCCTCGAAGCCTGGCCACCCCTGGAAGTAGTTCTGTGTGGCTGCCAGGACCAGGGCCAGGGCCAGCAGCAGCAGCCAGAGGCTCCTCCCATCTCTGACCTCCATCTCTGCAGCCTCAAAGACTCCTTGCCAATGACTCAAGCTGTCTTGGGAGGTGGCACCTGCGTTCAATCAGAGACCCAGGCCCAAGCCAGTCCTTCCATGGTCCAGTGCAGACCCCCAGGGAACCTTCTTGCATGGCCATAGCCATGAGCCCACCTGGGCAGCTGCCACCCACTTAAACACCATGCTGTTCTTCCATGCCCCGGCAAGGGGCATCTCTGACACCTGCCTGGGTACAGGAGCCCTCCCTTGCCTGCCGCCCAGCAGGGAAGAAAGCTGGAGAACAGTCAGACCATGCTGTGAGAGCAGCTGTGAGAGACAGAGGGGTGCCGTTCATGGGAAGGGGTGAAGGCTCCCGGAGAAGGTATATGTTAGCTGAGCTGGAAGGACTCAGCAGTGCGGGACACAGCTGTGTTGGGACTGCTTCACTAAGCCCTCAGCTATCCCTTGGCCTCCTCTATGACAGGTTGTCTGCACTCACCTTCCCCTCTGCCTGCCACAGGGATCTGCCTGCTGGATCCCACTGCACCGCAGGCAGCCCGCTTCCCTGTTGTGACCTAGTGAGCTTTGTGAGATAATCCTAGCCACCTGTGACAGAGGAGGAGGCTGAAGCTTAGGCAGAAATTCACCCTGCAGACCGTGGAGATGGGTGCCCACAAGAGCACCCTGTGTGCAAAACTTGCCAAGGTGGTGTCCTGCTCCACAAAGAGAGCAGCGTGGACACCAATGAAACTGGAGACTTGTTAGTGTCACACAAAGGTGACATCCCCATTCCACCACAGTGCTCCTGAGAAAGGACACCAGAGCTGCTTCAGAAAGTGGCAGGGACCATGGGATGAATGTGCTTAACTTGAGGGGGAGAGATTCATAGCAATGCATCTTTACTGGAATAAGTTTTTTAATTTAAACATTCTCTGATACTTCCACACATTTACACCAACATCACATCAGGGCGTGTGTAAATTTACATTGCATCAGTCATTTTAGAGGAAGGGGAGCTTCTGGTGGGGGAGATCCAGAGGAAGTGCCCTAGGGCTTCACACTGCTTCCTGAGAATCAACCCCTCATCTGTCCATTGTCACTGTGCCCATTCTCAGGGCACATGGCATGCTGTCACCTGTGACCCTTGGATCTACAAGCCAACCACCTGCCGACAGAAAATATTTCAATAACAAAAAAAGTTGTGTGCTTGGTGAACACATAGAGACCCTTTCCTTGTCATTCCCTAAGCAACATGGAAGGACAACTATTTATATGGCATTTGTGTCATGCTGGGGATTGTGAGGGAGAGGGGTGATTCAGGTCTGGGGAGAACTGTGTAGGTGCCACACAATGCCACACCATTCCCAGAAGGGACTTCAGCACCTGTGGGGCATGTCAGCAGGGGCCCTGGAAGCCAGCTTCACAGACACCAAGGGACAACTGTATGCCACTGGTAGGGGAGCTGTGGCAGCTAGGAGAGGGTCATGGTCTCACTGCTCCTTGTCATAAACCTGCACTGGCATTTGGAATCTTCTTTTCACCCCGGGGGAACAAATGAGCCCCTGCAAACAACAAGGCTGACTTCAGTTGCTTTCTTGTCTTTTCTTCTCTCTTTTTGGGGGGTGGGGGAGTTATTTGTCAAAACAGTTTCTATATGTAGCCCAGGGTGGCCCTGAACTCACAGTGATTCTCCTGCCTCAGCCTCCCAAGGGAGGGGATTACTGGGATTACAGGCGTGTGGCACCACGCTCAGCCTCAACTGTTTTCTTCTCTTCACCCTCTCTTTAATCATTTCATTATCTCCCCCAAATACTCCTGCTTTCCACTGGCCGCTGACCCAGAGAAAACCCAGGCAAGAAGCCAATCTATTTGAGACCCACCTACTGCCAGGTACCTTCCTGGATGTCCCTGCCGAAGCAGGCAGCAGTGGGTGACCTGCCCAAGCACTCCTGGGTGTGGCCTGGGCCTTCTTCCGGGCCAGCTGCACAGGGCACAGCCGACCTCGGTTGAATGTGCCCTGTGGTCCCAAGGAGCAGGCGGCAGCCACAGTGCAGCAGCCAGGACCACAGGTAGTACAGCAGCTCAGGCTGCATAGCCAGAGAGCTTGGACTGAGGAAGCAGAGATGTCGCCAGCCAGAGAGGCAGAGCAGCCTCACAGCCTGCTTGGGCTTCCCCCGGGAAAACAAGGTGGACACTGCCCAGGGAGGCAGGGGAGCCATCCTGCTTATCCACAACTCAGGAAGGTCGCCAGCTCCTGGACAGCTACACTGGCTAAGGAGCCACCTGGTCCGGTCTTTCCTTTTCCATTTTTAGTATGAAAATCAACACATAATAATTGTACATGTCTCAGGGCACAGTGTGATATTTTGATACAATTTGCAACATTCAAATCAGAGCATTTAGCATTTATCTCAGATTTATCATTTGAGATAAATGTATTGGAAACCTTTGAAATCCAGAGAACAGAATGTTAGCTGAAGTAAGCCAGCTGCGGAGAGGGGGTGTATTCTCTCACTCGTGTGTGGAAACAGAAAATGTGGATCTCGTAGAGAAGGGAGGAGAAGAGGGGCAGTGAGGGGCTGGACTGCAGGTGCCAAACTATAAGTGAATACACAAATGAATAACATGAGTAGGCAAGGATGTGGATAAAGGGGAATAGACCAACCAGGTGCCCCCACTTTCCCACCTCGCATAAATCCAAAGGAAGAGACGTCAGCACACCCTGAGGACACCAGCACCCCCATGTGTGTTGCTGCCGAATCCACAGCAGCCATGATATGTAATCAGCTGTATCCGCCAGTGGGTAATGAAAAAGTATTCACAGTGGAATAGCGCTCAGCCTTAAAAAGAGTGATACCTACAGCTTGCAGAAAAATGAATGAAATCAAAGGACATTATGTTAAGTGAAATAAGTCAGACACAGAAAGATAATACCACATGGTCTTTCTCACCTGAATGGTTTTTACAAAGCAGATTTGAATGTGGAATAGTGAGCACTAGAGTTTGGGAAGGGTGGGAAGAGGGATAAGAGAAGACAGGAAAATGTGTACCTAAACACGGTTAAGACAGGAGTTCTAGTGTTCTGCAGCACAGTAGGTGATTGGGTCCACAGTGACCTATTATATATTTTATGGATAACTAGAAGAAAGGAGTTCAAATGCTTCAAGGAAACATTAATTACCTGATTTGGTCATTACACATTTTATACATGTATATCAAATAATCATACTGTATACCACAAATACTTAACAATGGAGATAATAATAACTAATTAAAACATTTAAATGCAAGCAGATAGGACAGATAAGTTCTACTGTTCTGTAGTACAGTAGTGTGACTATAGTTTGGAATAATTTGTTTTGTATTTCAAAATAGTTAAAAGAAAGGATTTTGAATGCTCCATCAGAACCCAGGGAAAGGAAGTCAGGTCACTGGGATGAGCCCTTCCAGGGGTCCTGGGACCCCAGAACCATTGCTGCTTGCCTTCTGGCCACCTCCAGCTGAACAGGCTGCTGTCACCATATGCTCCCCCTGGAAGTGCTGTGCCACCTCAGGGCCAATGCTGTGGGATGAGGTGACCACGGGCTGAAACTCTCCAGTCTTCAAGTCCCTCTGACAGCAGATGAAAAGCGGGCACACTCTCCAGGCTACTTCTGTGTCTCGGTGAGCAGATGCACGTCCTGCTGATGCCAGGGGCAGCCCAACCTTGCTGGAATGCTCCAAACCTGAACATGTGAGGCCTTGGCCCATTTTTCTGCTTGGTTCTCTGGGTTGTATTGATTTGTAGGATTTCTTCATCCTTGACAAATTCCTTTTGGATACATGTGTGACAAATATCTTTCTCCAAGTTGTGGCTTGTCTTTTCATTTTATTTAAGGCACAGTGGTGAACAGAAATTCTTAACCTCAGTGGAGTGAAGGTATCGAATTTCTCTCTTCTGGTTTGCATTTTGGATGTCTTATCTAGGAACTCAAGGTCATGAAGCTACTTAAGTGCTTTAATAAAGCTACTTTTCTGGATTTTCTTCCAAAGATCTTAAAGTTTAGCATTTCCGATGTATGTCCAGAATCTACCTGGGTTTTGTGCATGGTATGTTTGCTAATGTTTAGTTCAGATGTTTGTTACCTCTGGTCACAAGTAAGACTGGCTGTGCTTGTGCTGTCCCACACTTTCCCTTTTCAACTTGGGTTCTGTGGTCATGCTGACCTCATTCCACAACCTGGGGTGTGTGTGAGTCGGTCTCCACCGTGACAGACACACAGGCAATAGACACAGGGGAGGGTTTGTTCACAGGCTGTCTGTACAAAGGCAAAGGACAGGGCAGTTGTTCGTAGTAGTGGCAGCTGCCAGGCTAGCAGTCCTAGGCCTGAAGGAGGAGGAAAGCTGGGACTTAGAAAGAGTCAGGGTGCATCAGCTGTCTGCTGAGTAGAGGGACCCAGGGAACAAGGACAGGGATCTCTCTCTTCCTGCCCTCCACCCTGTGTCTGGGCACCTCGATGGACAAGCACAGTGGGATGTCACAGGGCCCAGGAGCCCTGATGACAGAATCCAAGCTGCCAGTGTTTGGAAGCAGAGAGCAGCAGAGACAAGGCACATTACCCATGTTTCTGCAGAGACACCAAGCCAGCAGGAATGAGTGTGTGTGTGTGTGTGTGTGTGTGTGTTTGTGATTTATTGTGAGCAATTGGTATATAATAACGAAGGCCAAGAAGTCTACAATCACCATTTACAAGCTGGAGATCCAGGAAAGTACCCAACATAAAGTCACAAAAACAAGAAGCAGGGCACCAAATGGGCTATGAAAGGGATGCTGTGCACAGTGTGAGCTGGGACAGGCAGGACCTCTGGTGGGAAGGCAACATCAGGACTCTCACAGTTCCCTCCTCTCCCATGTGCCCACCCAGGACTACAAAGGAGCCACAGGTGTTGCTTCTGGGATTAAAAATAAATTCTGTAGGTACGTGAATTTGCACACATGGAACCCACGAATAGTAGGGATTGGATGTATTTCCAAAGCCCGTTACCGAGGTGCAGGCTCTCCTGACTGTGAAGAGTTGCTAGCATTGACATTATCCAAGTGCATGCAGTGTGGTCAGCTGTAAGTAAACTCTCTCGCTCCTCAGGACAATGCAAGTGTTTCCACAAGAGCCAAACTTGATGTAACTTACACCTGCCATAGTGGAAAAGGGTTGTGTGAAATATGATGCACTCAACTGTGGGCAATTAACAATCACTGTCAGGTGTCCTGTCACAGTCTGGATCTGAAATGTTCTCCAATGTTTGTGTCAAACAAGGCTTAGACCAGAGCTTGGGGTCCTACAGGGAGGTGGTGGAATTTTAAGAGGTGGGGACTGGGGAGAAGAGGAAGTAGGGTCCTTGGGGATGAGCCCTTTGAGGCCATCCCAGGGCCCCAGAGCCCGCCCTTGTTGCTTGCTTTCTGGCCACCACAAGCTGAATAGGCCTCTGTCACCACTGCTCCTCTGTGATGTGGTATGTCACCTCAGGCCCAGTGCTATTGGACAAGGTAACCACAGGCTGAAACCTCTCA